GGGGAGGGAGGCCTCTCCCGGCGGCGGGGCCCGGCCGAGGGCGGCTGCGCCAGCCCCAGAGCCGCCCGGGCTGAAAAAGCCCTCCCGAGGAGGGGAGGCAGGTCCCGCTCTCCCGGTGCCTGCAGTCCCAGCCCCGCCGGCCGGCTCCCCGGGGGCTGCTGGTGTGACCGGGCAGTCGCCCGTCCATGTTCCTGCAAGGGCACTGCCGGCGGGGCCAGGACGGCGTCGGGTGCTCTCTGCAGGATTAGGTTTTGAGGGGAAATGTGATACGGTGGTGATAGGTTAGGCTGCAGGAGATTAGATCATCTGTGGTTTTGGGAGCATCAGCAGAGCGGGGCTCTTGTGTAACCTCCGCGGCGCAGGGCCTGCCTCCCGCCGCCCTTCCCCGGCGGCACGGCCCCCGCCGGCCCCCGCCCCGCTGAGCCCCTCATCACCGATGAACCAAAAATGCAGCAACGTCGCCACTGCTTCGAGGGAAACCGAGAGACTGGGGAGCCCGCTCGTGCTGGGCGTGGGGTGGATGCTTGGCCAAACAAGAGCCAAACAAAAGCAAAAGAGAAACTGGCTTCAGAGCAGCCCCAGCACCGCCTGCCCTTCCAGATGCTCCTGGCAGCCTTCAAAGCAAAAAGCATCAGCTCACGTTTTACAGGAGATGCCTTTCCAAAGGAAAACGCTGCTGGTGAAGCCCCCGGTCCAGTTCCTTCCCTTTTCCTCCAGCCACAGCCATTTGCTGAATCCGAGATGAATTCAGAAAGCTCCCAGCCAGGGCCCCGCACGATGGCCATCGCGGCCTGGCTCCGCTTGTCCCACTCTTTGCCCGCGGGAGGCCCGTGGCACGAGCTGGCCAACCTCGCGCTGCTCCTCCCGCGGCCGTCAGGAGCAGGCACCCGCAGCCTGCCGGGCGCTCGGGCGTTGGGATGTCCCGGCACCCTGGGCTCTCGCCCTCCCTCCTGCCGGACCCCCCCGGTGCTCAGGGATGGGGGATGGAGGGAGGTGCTGTGCCCAGGGTGGGGGTGAGTCAGTGCGGAGCGAAGAGCAGACAGAAGAATCCAGCCCTGGGCCAGACCCACTGTGCCGCATTCCCCAGTGCCGAGACACGCTGCTGCGGGGAGACGGGCTCAGCTCATGCCCGGCGCGCTACCTGTGGGGAAACTGAGGCCCCGACCAGGGAAGTGACTCACCCTGCACTGTGGCCTTTTAAATGCCCTGCTCTGATTAGATAATGGGCGGAAGGATCAGAGAGAGCCGAACAACCCCTCATTAAACCTTTGTCTCCCCATAACGCCTTCAGCTCCCAACGGGAGACCTTGGCCACGCTGGGCCGGTGCTGGCCCGGCGCGGAGGCAGCCCTGCCCTGAACCACACCTGCTCACATCTGCCGCGAGGCCCGTGTGTGCCAGGCGGTTGGCGGCGCGGCAGCGCGCGGGCTGGAGCACGCCCCGGCACCCCACATGCCGGCAAAGGCAGGCGCCGTCCTGGCCAACAGCGGGGCCGCGGGGGCTGTACCTGAGCCCTGCCGGACCCCGCTGCCCGGGGAGCCCGGAGCCGCAGGTGGGTGCTTCTCCAGCCCCTCGCCTGGGTGATGCCGAGAGCATCCCGGGATGCTGCCGGGCAGGCAGCTCCCTCCGGCAGGCACGGACCATGGGGCTCCAGTGACCGCCAGGCTGGTGGGGCCGGCGGGCAGGAACTGGAGCTCCCCGATTACATTAGCCGCGGTGATGAAAGAGGTGCACGTGGTGGCAGAGCTCGAGCCGCCGGGGCCGGGGCTGGGGAAGGAAGTACCACGCCAGGGCTCTCCTTCTGCCGTTCTCTCTCTGCGTTCTCCCCTCCCTTGCAGGGTGCAATTAGTGCCCAGAGCTTGGCCGCGTGGGGGGGGGGGGGGGGGCGGGCGCCTGTCTCCAGGAGCCTCCCAGCCCATGCCACCCACTCCAGAAGCTTCTGCAAAGGTGGTCTGATGCTGCAGCGGGGCGTTTCTGTGCATTTGGGGGCAGCCCTTTGTGCTGG